CATATTGTTCCCACATGCTTAGATGGTTTGGTGGTGCAGCGGAGGTGTTGGTAGATAATGAGGAAGAACAGGTGTCCTTTCTTTTTCCAACCAGATTGAGACATAAACATTTACTACACATCTTTTCAATTAGCCGTAAAGACTGCTTGGCAAAGGCCAAGTGTTTGCTCGGGGTATAGTTTACCTGCAGCTCCTGGTAAAGTTTCCTCAGCTCCAGAGCTGCAGGGCCTGAAAGAGGCGATCCTTTATGACCAGTGCCTGCACCCTGGGGTCCCGTGGGTGCCCCCTGACCTGGTGCACCAGAGTGTAGCTGCAGGCGTCCTCTCCTCAAATCCTCCAGCTGCTGAGTCAACTGTTAGACCAAAATTAAATACATATATATGCACATATATCTTATCAAATCAAATCTGCTTCAGAGTTTATAGAAACCAAATAAATTTTCGTACCTGGTCGACTCTGATCACCGCAGTCTGCAGCTCCGCCTGCTTCTCCTGAAACAGGCTGCTCACATGGTCAATCTCTGCAGCTGCACACAGAGAGCAGGAAGTCAGATTGAAATTACATCGCTGTAGTTATTAATATTTTAGTGCTCAGATTCTACAGAAATACATATAAACACCGAGCACACTGTAAGTGACTGAGTAAATGGTCAAAAAAATCCCTCACGCTGCAGCATCAAGGCTTTATGAGGTTAAATTCACAGTCTTTTAATATGCAGTCGTTCACTTCAGGGCCTGTAATCCACAGTCACCAACTCTACAGTGTTACGGTGTTTAGGCTTACAGAGGTTTCCGTTGATCAGCTTGCTGTAGTCGACTTGGCCTCTCATGGCTCGGATCTTCTTCAGCTTCGCTTCCTGAGTCTCCACTCGCTCTTTGAGCCGCTGCAGCTTCTCAGCTTCAGACTGAAAAAGAGAAGTCAGTGTTTAAAGTGGTTAAAAACTACCCATACACTCAGGTGGTGGCAGTTCCAGTCATTTATGTATACTGAAAGGATACCTGCTCTGTAATTGAACTAAACTGTGACCCAAGATGCAGAAAAATACACGTTTTAGTTGATTATGTGCCGTCTCAGTTTCAGGAATAAATGGCTACAATGTGTTTAATTTGAAGAAATGAAATGAAATGAATTCTGAAGGTTATCCAATAAAAGCGCAGGTATTTGCTTTACTTGGAAAAGACTTGCAGACAGCAGTAATCAGCCCTCCGACAGACAAACCACATAAAGGAAGCAGTATGCAGATTATTGTATTTTAAACTGTATTCGTTTGATGAAAATATTGCTACCGTGATCACTCACACTATTGTGAGTAAAGCATGGAGTTGAACTTTAAATAGGGTGTCCTTGTGCTGTATAGACTCAAAGGAGACTAACAGAGGTGTGGATCGCACCTGTGACTGTCCCTGGTTGGATCTGCCTCCTTGCTGAAGATACCTCAGTCTCTGTTCCTGCAGGAAACAAAAGTACAGTGAAAGTAGAGTCCAGACTTTCATTTATTTCATTTGAAAAGTGGCATGGCATTTTCAGTTTTAAAGAAACTAAATCATGTTTTGCAAACCCAGCCAGAAAAAAACTAAAAAGTGCTATTTTTATGTTATAAAAATAAGATTATCTGGTATACCAACTAAACTCAGCGAGGTTGAGCCCTTTTTCACTTTGATATCCTGAAAGCCTGTTTTATAAATCAGCTCACTGACTGAGGAGGATCCTACACAAACAGAGGAGCAACCGTGGGATTTGTTGCAGCGCTTCAATCAGCAGAATTCAAATTCGATAAACGTGTTGGTGTTATTCAGTTACGTTTTCAGCACTGCCTGTTAAATCCAACTAAATGACTATATAAATGAAAACTATGTTTCAAATGGTTTTAAAAGAGCCTCTGACACAAATATTTTGGGTCTCTAATGAATTCAGGCCGGTGCTGTCGACTGATTGGCCAGTTTGCTGTCTGGCTCATTATTTGTCAAGCTGTCATTGAAAAATTTCATGAGTTCTCAGTGAAAAACAAATCACATTTATGTTTATGCACCGATAATAGAATTATTTCACGGTGCTCGTGAATTTGATTTCCTCTGTGACCTTTCCAGGGAGTGCCCAGCGTTTCGCCCTGTGACAGATGAAATAGGCCCCACCCCCCCGCTGCACCCCTGAATTGGTTGAGTGGTTAAGAAGATTAATGGAAAGATAATATTTCCTGGTTTTTGGTGCTTTGAGAACACATGCATGTGTTTTCACATCGTTCCCTCTCATTTTGCACACCTGCATGTTAATCTTATTTTTCATAAATAAAATCTTATTTCAAATGCTGCTGAAATAGATGAGTGTTTTCATACCATGCACCCTGTTGTACA